TTTAATCCTATTTTGTTTTGCTTTATAGAATCCACTAATTTTGATGTGTTGACTAACATACTAAAGCACATGTGAAATATTTGATTATAATTTTAACTGTAGGGTGTTTTTTTTATTTTAAAGTAAATGTTTTAAATTAAATGTGCTAAATTGCAACTTTATCTTTACAAATATGCAATTACATGTGTGACCCTGGATCACAAAAGCATAAGTCGCTGGGGGATATTTGTAGCAATAGCCAAAAATACATTGTATGGGTCAGAATCAGGGTTTGGAGTGGATGGTCTCTCGCAGCGATTCAACTGCAGCAAGTAGAAACATGTGTTTCGTGGCTGTGCTTGTAAAAGAGAACGGCTGAGGTATCCCCACCATCTCCCAGTGTACTAAACACTATCCAAAAATACCACTTCCCATCTGAACAAATGTATCACATCCAGGATGTCATTTTATAAGAGTGAGGTACTAAAGCATTTACTCCATTGATTGACTGCTCTGATCAGGGAGACACAGAAGCCAATGGTGGAAGTTTGGGGCGGGGCTTGACTATTTGTCTGACCAATGGCGGACAGGGGGAGTGTTCAGGAAACCTGTTTGAAAATCATTAATTGGTCATTTATTTCTTTAAATTTAGGGTACGTTTACATTACATGGCATTTTGTTGCACATTCTTGATTTCAGATTGACCCACACTTTGTTGGGCAGTTCTGCACCAGAATAAGCCAGAAAATCCCCCAATGATTTTTTCTACAATAAGTACCAATGATTTTATGAAGACTGGCGTGTGAGCCTAGTTCAATCTGAGACAAATAAACGTGTTGCAGATTTCACTGACTATTGGCTGGTCTACAATAAGTACCAATGATTTTATGAAGACTGGCGTGTGAGCCTAGTTCAATCTGAGACAAATAAACATGTTGCAGATTTCACTGACTATTGGCTGGTGTAGTTGTTTGTATATCGTTAGCTGTTTGCTTGTTTATGTGCTTGTTATTTAAATTCGATCTAAAAGTGTGTTTTGGCTTGATGTGATCAGCGTTTGAGTGGCTTTTGGGCAGTGCTGTGATGTCTTGTTTGGTCTCTGGTAAATGTGGGAGAACTCTGAAATTTGCAAAAAGCATTGGAGAGGAAATGCAGCTGTGTTAAGGGTGAAAGGTGACTTTTTAGTCATATTTTAGTGTATATCAGCATTAAAGTAATGGTTCAGACACCTGGTTCAGAGAAGGCTGTGCTGGCCTTGTATAACTCCATCCTGACCGCCGGTCTGAGTTCTGCCAGACACTTGCCACAGAGGCGCATATTACTGCAACTCCTGTAAAACAAAAACACTGAAAATTACCACTTCTATTTAAACCTCGCCCTGCCCAATCTGTACTGTCTTTCCCATCTCTCAATAAGAAAACGTTCTCACTATTGAGAAAGTTAGTTAATACAGTTTAAAGGGGAAAAGTGATTGTATGTTGATGTATAGGGATGGAATGATTGGGCTTAGACTTAACCCTTTAACCTAATTATATTTTTCCAATAATTACAACAGTTCAGCCTTTTTAATAATAATGTAGATTTGACAGTAATGAGCTGTTTTATTTTATTAACACATAATGTGGTATGAATAAGAAAATGCTGCCTCTTTGTTTGTTTGTTTGACAAATTGGTTTCAGTAATATTTTGTGTATATACTAAACATGCAGCAGGCATCATCATCATCATTATTTATTCATTGATATTTAATTCACCCAAAAATGAAAATTCTGTCATTAATTACTCGCCCTCGTGTTGTTCGAAACCCGCAAGACCTTCGTTCATCTTCAGAACACAATTTAAGATATTTTTGATGAAATCTGAGGACTCTCTGACCCTCCCATAGACGGCAAGGTAACTACCACGTTCAAGGTCCAGAAAAGTACCAAGATGATCGACAAAGTAAGTCCGTGTGACATCAGTGGTTCAACTGTAAACTTACGAAGCTATGAGAATACTTTTTTGCGCAAAGAAAACAAAAAAAACGACTGTATTCCACATTTTCGTCTCTACTGCGTCACTTGTGGACGCGCGTTCACGACAGTATCATGACGCGAGTGTGTGGCGCAACGAGAGACAACAGAGAGCCCTCAGATTTCATCAAAAATATCTTCAATTGTGTTCTAAAGATAAACAAAGGTCTTACGGCTTTCGAACAACACGAGGGTGAGTAATTAATTACAGAATTTTCATTTTTGGGTGAACTAACCCTTTAATAGCATGACTACTTTTACAATGACAACCTTATTAGAGTTCATTAGCATACAGTTCAATTAAAAAAAATAAATGAGTGGAGACAAAGTTTGGCGCTTAAAGTTTGGGGTCAGTAAAATTGTATTGAATATTTTTATTCAGCAAGGATGCATTAAATTGATTAAATGCGACAGTTAATTCATATTATTATAATGTTACAAAAGATTTCAATTAAATGCTGTTTTTTGGACTTTCTACTAATCAAAGAATCCCAAAAAATGTATCATGATTTCCACAAAAACATGAAGCAGCTCAACTGTTTTCAACATTGATAATAATCAGATTATTTTATATGAAAACAGTTTCCTTGGATATAGTAGGCCATTTAGAGGGTTCATCCAGAAGGACAGAAATTACAGCTGTGTCTCAAAACAAGCTCACTCACCACCTGCTGCATTCATGGGCAATAATTGTCTGATTTGAGATGTTCATCATCAATAACAGCCTCCTCACATTCACAAGAGACTTAAAGACTCATATGAGACACTCAGTGTTGACATTAGTTGCTAAAATACCAGTTCCATACTGAAATAACGACCACAATCTTAAAACAGTGCTGATTATGCCCAAAAGGTTGCAAGGATTTGAGACACAGCATACGTGTCTTTGATATTTTATTTTAAACTTAATTTAACAGAATTTGCAATGTTGCAGTCTGGCCATTTGGAAAATATATATATATCATATAGAATATGAAATAAATAAATAAATATGTGAGATGACTTTGGAAGCCGCAAAATGAAACAATTCAATATTCCATTCAAAATGTGCTTATTTCTGTTTTAGACTGGTGGTAACATTAAAAGGTTGTTAATCTCAGCTTGATAAGGCATGGTTTCAGATTTCTACCTGGCTGTATAAAACCAGCATCACCATATGGTTTTCCTGGGATAGGATCCATCTACTCTGCTATATCCAGCCACACAATAAAAGATGATAAAGTCTTTGCTAACGTGTGAGCCAGTCGAACATCCTGGGGAATTTGAAGACAATCCTCAGGCATGTACACGTGCTGATAAATGCTATTATTCAACCTTAGTGAGAATGCAGAGAAATAGGAATAAAAAACATGCTGTTTTGTTTACCCAAGCATCTATTGAATCCGGTGAACTGATTTCAGATCAATCCACATGGTTTTAGAACCACTTTTTCATGTTCATCTTCTGTTATTATTGGCTAAATCTTTACATGTTGCACTTATCATTCCTATTGCAATTTTAAAAAGTGATAGTGAACAGGCAATAAATGTTAAAACATAAAGAGAAAGGAGGTCAGACAGGGCCATGGAGCTTGAAGTTGCAACGTGTCCACAGAGCAATGAGTATGGTTTGATATGATGCCAGATGTTCTTCTGTCTCTCTCTCTCTTTCTCTCAGTTTGTCTCTGTCTTCTCTCTGCTTAACATGTTGCATACGGGAAAGCTAAAGGCTCACAGCTTTGCTCATATGTTCAGGCATGCAATGGACATTTGCACAAATATCCATGTTATGTTGTTGTTCTGTCTATGGCTAAAATATTGAACATTTATCACTTTATAACAACTGTGGCATGCCTTTGTGAAGAGGATGAATATTTTCTGTCTTCATTTTAATTTTAGTTGAAGTTTTAGTATTTCTGTTTGTCATTGTTTAAAAATATGTACGTTTATTCGTTTATAACCCTGTGGGTATTCTTTAAATAAATAAATAAGCCTTTGTTAGTAGCTTTTAGTCGTCATCTTTCTGAGATCATTGCAGGAGCAAGTTCTCTAATGGACTAATATGAAAATATATTTTACCCTTCAAATTATGTGGCTAATAATCTAAAACCAGAAAGGTCCAGTTGGGCCTATATGGTCATGTTTAAGGGATATTTCTCCCCAAAATGAATTTTTGGTCAGTATTTTCTCACTCACTGACGTTCTTTTTATCTGTTAAATGCAAAATAAGATATTTTGAAGGACGTTCAGGTCTAAAACGAGTCATCACTGAGACATTTTTCACAGAAGACAAAGTCTTAAGAAATAGTTCACCCAAAAATAAATTTCTCTCATCATTTACTCACTTATCTTATCTGTGGAATGCAAATGAAGACATTTTAAAGGACAATGGGGTCTAAAACGAGTTGACTTTCATTGTGTGAACACACAAAAAAAACATTGGGACATTTTTCAAAACATCTACTTCTTTTGTGCTTCAACAGAAACAGATAATCATAAAGGTTTGGAATGACATGAGGGTGAGTAAATGACGACTGAACGTTCATGTTTGAACATTTAGAAAAAGAGTAAATCCAATGCTTCATTCCATTTTCTATTCATAAATCTCCCTCAAACCATAATTCTGTTCAAACGTAGCATGCATGCTGATTGCAGTAACTCAGTTCACCTTCATGTATAAAGAAACTGCAGAATATGATCATCATTTGGCGACTAAAACAAATGCCTATTTGTAAAAAAGCAATAAAATGATCACATCCACCAAGAGGGTCCAACTTATCCGAGTGAAAATGAAACACGCTGAATCGAACCATCCAGAGATTCAGAAAATACAATCACGATATCCAGAATCCCTGACACACTTCTCCATGTTTCAAAATGTCCACGTTGTAATGAGGACTCCAAATAGTTTGACATGTTTTAAGGCGGCCCTTCGTCTTGGCTGAAGGAGGGACTCGCTTTGACTTGAACATGTAGCAGATATCTAGCGCACTCAGCACCTCCCCAAAACGTTGGCATATAAAAGCCAGGGTCAAACATTTGTTTAGGCAGTAGGGAGTTTCTGCTGGGGTCTGGATTGGAGTTACACAGACCGGACCCTACGTGTATGATTGAGGACAAAACAGGATTCCTCTTGCCTCAAAGAGTCTACATGTCTAGTATTTAGACATGTTCAGCTTTGTGGATATCCGGTTAGGGCTGCTGCTCGCCGCAGCGGTCCTTGTGGTGAGAGGACAAGGAGAGGATGATAGTGAGTATATGATTTTTACTCCTGATTTGCACAGATGCTTGACTGAGGAGATTGGAGAACTCAAGAGGGGGGAATTTTTCAACTGTCTTGCTTACAAGTGACCTGCAATCTAAAACTTTTTGGGAATGTCTTGAGGAGGAAAAAACTACCTTTTTATTCTCATCAGCATTTTTTATATTCTAGAAATGGTCATTTTTCCATCTTGCCGCACGCGGACTTGAGTTACAAGTTGTGTTACGGACTTTGGATTACACCGATAGACTAGTATCCGTCAACATACGTTTCGACAGTTTTATCCTGCACGGCTGCTAAAATGTAACAACAGAATTACAATTTAGAATTCCAAAATGCATTTAGTTTGCGAACGTTCAGGGCGTGACGGCTTTTTTTCTTTTGGCGCCACCATGCGGTGGATTTTAATACTTCATGGGTCTGAGGGGATGCAGGCCTTCATACTCATCATCATTGTGCATCACGCCCCATTAGGCCATTTTAGCTTCATTTACCTCTTATTTCTAAAATATGAATTAAACAGTAAGTAAATAATTAATACGCATCACACTAGATCAGTATGCATGATTATATTGGATGACAATCATCTTTGCTGTTTAGTTCAGAGGCTTTCTGCATATGCAAGAGTGAAACTCTATCATCATTGCTCTTATTGTGCCTTCAGGTTATAAAGAGCATTATTTGTTCCCTTGAAGGATACACGGATGTGTATGTTGTTAGTTTTTTTTCAAGCAGAAAGCATTTAAATTGTCGATTTGAACTTCTTTTTTGTAATAGAACACTTCGCCTTTGAGTTAATCCTGTATTTAGTTAGCAACATATTGTAAATGAATTTAGTTTAGTTAGCTACATATTTAGTGATTTAGTTCATGTTTAGAATTTCTGTGTCTTTAAACTTTTAAGGTAAAATGATGAGTTCACTGACGAATGTGATTGACTTTACTGTGCTAATTCACGTCTGTTGTCCTTACAGGCTCATTCGGTAGCTGTACATTGGACGGTCAGAATTACAACGACAAGGATGTATGGAAACCTGAGCCCTGCCAAATCTGCGTCTGCGACAGCGGGACGGTCATGTGCGACGACGTGCTCTGCGAAGATACAGCAGAATGTGCCAATCCAGAGATTCCCGACGGAGAATGCTGCCCCATCTGCCCCGACGGTACACTCCGCACCTTTGCTTCAGTCATGCTGTGCACCTTGCGGTCACACTAGCTCTGTCGCCCTCAAGTGTGCGAACGCTTGAGCACATGCTCGGGGAAATATCTTTCATTGGCCTGCCATCACCTCAGAGACCTGTGGAGCACAAGCACCTGGATTTTCTGAGGGATTAAGGATGTTTTTGCTTCTTGTTTTTATTGCTTTATGGCTAATTACACTTTTTAAAAACTGAAATTGTATTTTTTGTTTTTTTACACTTGATTGCACTTTCTGATATTACATTTTGTTTATGTGCATTCAAATATGAATAATGAAACTTTCTGAATGCACATTAACTGCTGATCTTTTGAGCACCAATGGAAGTAATAAATGTTTGTTAATCTTGTTAATGAAAGATAGCTCCATATTTTCATGGTTCTGAATCAGTCCTCTGACCTTTTATTCCATAGATTATGTGATTGATCCTTCATTTGGTCCTAGACCTCCAAATGGTGATCACCAGGTTAGTGGGAATTTATTTCATTTTTTTTTTATAATGCACCTCATTTTATACATGTGTGTGTGTGTATATATATATATATATACAGAATTTGCAATGTTGCAGTCTGGCCATTTGGAAAATATATATATATCATATAGAATATGAAATAAATAAATAAATATGTGAGATGACTTTGGAAGCCGCAAAATGAAACAATTCAATATTCCATTCAAAATGTGCTTATTTCTGTTTTAGACTGGTGGTAACATTAAAAGGTTGTTAATCTCAGCTTGATAAGGCATGGTTTCAGATTTCTACCTGGCTGTATAAAACCAGCATCACCATATGGTTTTCCTGGGATAGGATCCATCTACTCTGCTATATCCAGCCACACAATAAAAGATGATAAAGTCTTTGCTAACGTGTGAGCCAGTCGAACATCCTGGGGAATTTGAAGACAATCCTCAGGCATGTACACGTGCTGATAAATGCTATTATTCAACCTTAGTGAGAATGCAGAGAAATAGGAATAAAAAACATGCTGTTTTGTTTACCCAAGCATCTATTGAATCCGGTGAACTGATTTCAGATCAATCCACATGGTTTTAGAACCACTTTTTCATGTTCATCTTCTGTTATTATTGGCTAAATCTTTACATGTTGCACTTATCATTCCTATTGCAATTTTAAAAAGTGATAGTGAACAGGCAATAAATGTTAAAACATAAAGAGAAAGGAGGTCAGACAGGGCCATGGAGCTTGAAGTTGCAACGTGTCCACAGAGCAATGAGTATGGTTTGATATGATGCCAGATGTTCTTCTGTCTCTCTCTCTCTTTCTCTCAGTTTGTCTCTGTCTTCTCTCTGCTTAACATGTTGCATACGGGAAAGCTAAAGGCTCACAGCTTTGCTCATATGTTCAGGCATGCAATGGACATTTGCACAAATATCCATGTTATGTTGTTGTTCTGTCTATGGCTAAAATATTGAACATTTATCACTTTATAACAACTGTGGCATGTCTTTGTGAAGAGGATGAATATTTTCTGTCTTCATTTTAATTTTAGTTGAAGTTTTAGTATTTCTGTTTGTCATTGTTTAAAAATATGTACGTTTATTCGTTTATAACCCTGTGGGTATTCTTTAAATAAATAAATAAGCCTTTGTTAGTAGCTTTTAGTCATCATCTTTCTGAGATCATTGCAGGAGCAAGTTCTCTAATGGACTAATATGAAAATATATTTTACCCTTCAAATTATGTGGCTAATAATCTAAAACCAGAAAGGTCCAGTTGGGCCTATATGGTCATGTTTAAGGGATATTTCTCCCCAAAATGAATTTTTGGTCAGTATTTTCTCACTCACTGACGTTCTTTTTATCTGTTAAATGCAAAATAAGATATTTTGAAGGACGTTCAGGTCTAAAACGAGTCATCACTGAGACATTTTTCACAGAAGACAAAGTCTTAAGAAATAGTTCACCCAAAAATAAATTTCTCTCATCATTTACTCACTTATCTTATCTGTGGAATGCAAATGAAGACATTTTAAAGGACAATGGGGTCTAAAACGAGTTGACTTTCATTGTGTGAACACACAAAAAAAACATTGGGACATTTTTCAAAACATCTACTTCTTTTGTGCTTCAACAGAAACAGATAATCATAAAGGTTTGGAATGACATGAGGGTGAGTAAATGACGACTGAACGTTCATGTTTGAACATTTAGAAAAAGAGTAAATCCAATGCTTCATTCCATTTTCTATCCATAAATCTCCCTCAAACCATAATTCTGTTCAAACGTAGCATGCATGCTGATTGCAGTAACTCAGTTCACCTTCATGTATAAAGAAACTGCAGAATATGATCATCATTTGGCGACTAAAACAAATGCCTATTTGTAAAAAAGCAATAAAATGATCACATCCACCAAGAGGGTCCAACTTATCCGAGTGAAAATGAAACACGCTGAATCGAACCATCCAGAGATTCAGAAAATACAATCACGATATCCAGAATCCCTGACACACTTCTCCATGTTTCAAAATGTCCACGTTGTAATGAGGACTCCAAATAGTTTGACATGTTTTAAGGCGGCCCTTCGTCTTGGCTGAAGGAGGGACTCGCTTTGACTTGAACATGTAGCAGATATCTAGCGCACTCAGCACCTCCCCAAAACGTTGGCATATAAAAGCCAGGGTCAAACATTTGTTTAGGCAGTAGGGAGTTTCTGCTGGGGTCTGGATTGGAGTTACACAGACCGGACCCTACGTGTATGATTGAGGACAAAACAGGATTCCTCTTGCCTCAAAGAGTCTACATGTCTAATATTTAGACATGTTCAGCTTTGTGGATATCCGGTTAGGGCTGCTGCTCGCCGCAGCGGTCCTTGTGGTGAGAGGACAAGGAGAGGATGATAGTGAGTATATGATTTTTACTCCTGATTTGCACAGATGCTTGACTGAGGAGATTGGAGAACTCAAGAGGGGGGAATTTTTCAACTGTCTTGCTTACAAGTGACCTGCAATCTAAAACTTTTTGGGAATGTCTTGAGGAGGAAAAAACTACCTTTTTATTCTCATCAGCATTTTTTATATTCTAGAAATGGTCATTTTTCCATCTTGCCGCACGCGGACTTGAGTTACAAGTTGTGTTACGGACTTTGGATTACACCGATAGACTAGCATCCGTCAACATACGTTTCGACAGTTTTATCCTGCACGGCTGCTAAAATGTAACAACAGAATTACAATTTAGAATTCCAAAATGCATTTAGTTTGCGAATGTTCAGGGCGTGACGGCTTTTTTTCTTTTGGCGCCACCATGCGGTGGATTTTAATACTTCATGGGTCTGAGGGGATGCAGGCCTTCATACTCATCATCATTGTGCATCACGCCCCATTAGGCCATTTTAGCTTCATTTACCTCTTATTTCTAAAATATGAATTAAACAGTAAGTAAATAATTAATACGCATCACACTAGATCAGTATGCATGATTATATTGGATGACAATCATCTTTGCTGTTTAGTTCAGAGGCTTTCTGCATATGCAAGAGTGAAACTCTATCATCATTGCTCTTATTGTGCCTTCAGGTTATAAAGAGCATTATTTGTTCCCTTGAAGGATACACGGATGTGTATGTTGTTAGTTTTTTTTCAAGCAGAAAGCATTTAAATTGTCGATTTGAACTTCTTTTTTGTAATAGAACACTTCGCCTTTGAGTTAATCCTGTATTTAGTTAGCAACATATTGTAAATGAATTTAGTTTAGTTAGCTACATATTTAGTGATTTAGTTCATGTTTAGAATTTCTGTGTCTTTAAACTTTTAAGGTAAAATGATGAGTTCACTGACGAATGTGATTGACTTTACTGTGCTAATTCACGTCTGTTGTCCTTACAGGCTCATTCGGTAGCTGTACATTGGACGGTCAGAATTACAACGACAAGGATGTATGGAAACCTGAGCCCTGCCAAATCTGCGTCTGCGACAGCGGGACGGTCATGTGCGACGACGTGCTCTGCGAAGATACAGCAGAATGTGCCAATCCAGAGATTCCCGACGGAGAATGCTGCCCCATCTGCCCCGACGGTACACTCCGCACCTTTGCTTCAGTCATGCTGTGCACCTTGCGGTCACACTAGCTCTGTCGCCCTCAAGTGTGCGAACGCTTGAGCACATGCTCGGGGAAATATCTTTCATTGGCCTGCCATCACCTCAGAGACCTGTGGAGCACAAGCACCTGGATTTTCTGAGGGATTAAGGATGTTTTTGCTTCTTGTTTTTATTGCTTTTTGGCTAATTACACTTTTTAAAAACTGAAATTGTATTTTTTGTTTTTTTACACTTGATTGCACTTTCTGATATTACATTTTGTTTATGTGCATTCAAATATGAATAATGAAACTTTCTGAATGCACATTAACTGCTGATCTTTTGAGCACCAATGGAAGTAATAAATGTTTGTTAATCTTGTTAATGAAAGATAGCTCCATATTTTCATGGTTCTGAATCAGTCCTCTGACCTTTTATTCCATAGATTATGTGATTGATCCTTCATTTGGTCCTAGACCTCCAAATGGTGATCACCAGGTTAGTGGGAATTTATTTCATTTTTTTTTTATAATGCACCTCATTTTATACATGTGTGTGTGTGTATATATATATATATATATATATATATATATATATATATATACATGTAGCTTCAGTCATGCTGTGCACCTTGCGGTCACACTAGCTCTGTCGCCCTCAAGTGTGCGAACGCTTGAGCACATGCTCGGGGAAATATCTTTCATTGGCCTGCCATCACCTCAGAGACCTGTGGAGCACAAGCACCTGGATTTTCTGAGGGATTAAGGATGTTTTTGCTTCTTGTTTTTATTGCTTTATGGCTAATTACACTTTTTAAAAACTGAAATTGTATTTTTTGTTTTTTTTACACTTGATTGCACTTTCTGATATTACATTTTGTTTATGTGCATTCAAATATGAATAATGAAACTTTCTGAATGCACATTAACTGCTGATCTTTTGAGCACCAATGGAAGTAATAAATGTTTGTTAATCTTGTTAATGAAAGATAGCTCCATATTTTCATGGTTCTGAATCAGTCCTCTGACCTTTTATTCCATAGATTATGTGATTGATCCTTCATTTGGTCCTAGACCTCCAAATGGTGATCACCAGGTTAGTGGGAATTTATTTCATTTTTTTTTTATAATGCACCTCATTTTATACATGTGTGTGTGGGTATATATATATATATATATATACATGTATATGTCTGTGTGTGTGTGTGTATTTATATGTATATACACACACACACACACATTATTACTTCAGTGTATGTTAATGTGTGTATTATTATACATATATATATAAAAATAACTTGAGTTATTTATTAATGATTTAATTTACTTTTTTGAATACTTATGTCACACCATATATAAATGTAGATTACACACAAAATTAATATATTTAGAATGTACACCAATGTAAAGTATCCTAATATTTCTTATTTTTCCATTTTTTAGGAACCTGTTGGTCCAAACGGAGACCCCGTGAGTACAATATTTGTTTTTGAACAAGCTGCTTATCGTTTCATTGTAATGTATTTATATTTATCTAGTTTTGTACCTACTGGGTTTGTCTAGTACAACTAAAAATTTAAATTTTGATTACTAAAAATAACCAATTGCACATTCGTTTTCAAATCTACAAAGTCTGTAGGTGACAAAAACAAAGTCTCTAGGTGACAAAATGTTTGCGTTGATATGAAAATCTTTCGCAAATGGAAATAATTAGGTCGAATTATGGGGCATTGGAGACTTTTAACCCGCTGACTTCTAATTGTCCCACTGACCTTTGACCTCTGTGACCTTATATGTAACATTAGAGAAGTTGCAGATTTAGGCTTTTTTTTGCCACACATATTAGACTTTCAGTCTATGACATTTGTAATACATTCTGTACCAAAGCATTGCATTTTTGCCGATTGCATTTAAATGGATCTTCATGTGTAACACGCTACAGCCGCATTGAACTAGATTTAGCAAAGGTAGTGCAGCTTTGCTGATGTGATTTTATGCCGCTCATGGATCTGTGCTATTTTGGCAGGGTCCTCCAGGGCCTCCTGGCAGAGACGGTATTCCCGGAGAGAACGGACTCCCTGGACCTCCTGGTCCTCCTGGAACCCCTGGCCTCGGTGGTGGAGTAAGCAGCACAATTTTGATCGTATAATTTTGTGAATCTGCATTTGTGGTGTCACTAAGATTAAGTTTGAGAGAATCTTGCCATGCTGGCCCATATTCAGAAACATAATTTTTTCTGTAGTCTTCATGATACGTACTGCTGCACCATAGATTATTTCCTTTGGCATTCTACAAAAATAAAATAAAATAAATATTTTTTTATTTTATTTTATTTTATATCTAATAGAAAGTGTGTATGAAGCTTCTGTTTTTCTGTAGTTCAGTACCAGCTTAAGTGAACAGCTCCTATCATTGAGGGTTGTGGGTTGCCAGGAATGAAAGCAGACTATGCACTCTATAAAAGAAAAATAGCTGTATTTGAAGGTTTTGACATAACTTACATATATGTGACATGTCGCTTAGGTGATTTCATAGTATGTATTAGCTAAGAGTTGATTATCTTCAAATATTTCTGCATTAAAAAGAAAACTGTATTTTAGTTGTTCAGCAGTAAATGATTCAATGAAGATAAGCACAACCTCAAATCCTCACTCTTTCGTTCTTGTCATCCCTTACAGTCTTTCCTTTCTCAAATGGCTTATGGCAGTGAGAAATCCAGCGGCCCTGCTCTCCCCGGTCCACCAGTAAGACAGCTTCTCTTTTCCTACTCTTACTTCCATCTCTTTTCTTTCATGAACTCACATAGAATATACAGAAATTTATGTTGTGAAACATAAAAAGTTGTGTAATTTGGCCTAAGTGATCCCTCACTTTTACTCAGTCTTGATATTCAGCAATTTTGTGTATATCGCATGTATCATAATTCACTTTTATTTCATTTTCCTGCATTATATCTGTGATCCACCACACTGGATCTGTCATTCAAAAACTAGTTCAAATATTTAATGCGCTTTCATAGATTTCATGCTTTTTTACTCCATTTGCACTTCTAAACTGCAATAACTTGCATGATATAGTATATATGGAGTGCTATACTTGTTTTATACTGGTTTTTAATGTCTGTATTATTTCTTTCTTGTGTTTTCTCACTTTTAGGGCCCCATGGGTCCCCGTGGCCTCCCTGGACCTGCAGGTTCATCTGTACGTCTATTTCTAGTGTTTTACCTTATAATACAAAATGTTGTTGATTTGTTAGAACAAATGAATCAGCCTTCTTTCTAGACAGTTATTCGTCATGGACTATAAACCTCATGTGGCTTATTATACATGCAGTATCTGATATATAACTGTGTTTATCTGTATTTTTCACAGGGCCCTCAGGGATTCACTGGCCCCCCAGGCGAGCCTGGTGAGGCTGGTGCTCCTGTGAGTATCTTCTGCTTCCTTTTAGTTTTGAGATTTAGTGTCAGTATGACACAATATGAAAACATTCAGAAATATGCAAACAGTCAAAAAAAACATATTTTACCAGCAGTTTGTGATTTTTCTTCTGCTGTTGTTGCTTGCAGGGTCCAATGGGTTCTCGCGGTCCTTCCGGTCCTCCTGGAAAGAATGGAGAGGATGTGAGTTTTTCAGACCGTCAGATGAGTCCGTTTTCAGTCTCTTCTTCATGCCTTCTTATCGTTCTTCTGCTCTTCCTCAGGGTGAAGCTGGCAAATCTGGTCGTCCTGGTGAGCGCGGATCCGCTGGGCCTCAGGTGCTTTTGCTCATACATGGTTTTCTCATTGATACACACAAATTACTACCACATTGCGGACATAGAAGGCAACTTATTAAGTCTTAAACTAGAGTAGAATAAGATATGATTATTTGATTGGAATTAAAACATTTTAAACACCACTGGGTGGAAAGAGATTCAAACAATCATCATAATGATATTCTCTTGCTTATTTCACAGGGTGCTCGTGGGTTCCCAGGAACCCCTGGACTCCCCGGCATCAAGGGACACAGAGTAAGTACGACAGCACATAACCTTACCTTTTTACTGTGTTTTAAAATGTGTTTTTTTCGTATTGTCATTTTATCTATACAGTATATATATATATATATATATATATAATGAAAACTTATTTTCATATTTTATTTAGCATTTTATTACATGTTTTTATCTATTCGTTCATTAATTTTGGCCACCTATGTGTTCCATTTTGTGTGCAATACTGCTTGGAAAAATATATAGATATATTTATTCTTTAGTAGTAATGTAATGTTTTGTTTCCTGTTACCTCTTACAGGGTTTCTCTGGTCTAGATGGAGCTAAGGGAGACACTGGACCTGCTGGACCTAAGGTTAGATTTTCATTTTCCTTTATTTTGTATGTTTTCATATATACAGCTATTGTTATTCACAGATTTTAGTCTGTGGACGCGAATGCTAATTTGATTTAGCATATGCAGCGCTGTATTGTTGGTTCTCTGTTGATTGTGTCTTCTCTCTGATCACAGGGAGAGTCTGGTGTTCCTGGTGAGAGTGGTACTCCTGGAGCCATAGTGAGTGATTCTGGATGGGATTTAAAGTCCATGTGAAGTCCATCTTCAAATTGATGTCATTCTTCTCACATTTTCCCATCTACATCTTTCAGGGTCCTCGTGGTTTGCCCGGTGAGAGAGGTCGCCCTGGTTCTCCTGGCCCTTCTGTAAGAGTCACATCCATGCCTTGTTGTTTCTAACCCCTTACTCTGCTTCATCTTGTGGACTAGAAACTAGAAAACCATTCTCTGTTTTTCATTCAGCCCCTACTGAATAATCAACGGAGACTCATTTTCCGTTTATCATTCAGCTTATACAACACAACCCAACTCTTATTGATTCACAATGAGTAAACATTTATAAATGCAAAAATGAGAATGCATCACAAACCTAAGATAGTTGAGCCTAATTGAAATATGTCTGCTGCTGGCATGTGCAAACATAATAAGTGACAAAGTTCTGCAGGCATGAAGATAAAATGCTCAAATACTGTAGTCGTAGGCAAAATCCTCCTGCAGGGTTTAAGACCATCATTCAGTGTCATCATTGGGTCATAAAGATGGGTGATTGTAATCTTTTTTGTTTTCTGCAGGGTGCCCGCGGTAATGATGGCAACACTGGCGGTGCCGGACCTCCCGTAAGTTTCCTAAGATCAATATTCTGGTAATACACCACTCATTTATTATAACAATCTATTGCAAATTCAAGAATTTCTTTTCATGTATATTGACACAAAACACAATTTGATGATCATAGTACTCATTTTAGAGGCAAAAAATCAAGCAGTTGATTTGATTTGATTTAAAAAGTAGTTGTTTTCAAGTGTTTGTGCTGCCTTCAGATTTTGAGTTTAGTCAAATGTGAAGTTGTATTAAGTGAAAGTTAAATCCAGGAAACACAATTAAGTTGTTATAGCTAATAATGTGAGGATTATTACTGATGCTTTAGTTTCTTATACTACAACATATTGCTACATAGTGTTAATTTAACAAAAAGTATGACGTAAAATGTTCATTGACGAGCTTTTTTCCCATGACTACAAGACAATGACGAGACGACAATAAGGTCGATAGACTGTGACTATATCAACATGCAATATCGGTTACGATAAAAGACGAGACTAAAATGTATTTTTATTTTCATAAAAAACATTATTGCGAACTGCTTTACACGCCTCTACGACACGAGCTTTCATGTGTGCGGTTGCCAGATATCAAGATTTCAAATCAGAGCTTCTCTATTAAAAGGATACATTTTCTGCCAGGTGTTTTGCTTATTTTTTTGCAATCTGGCAACCATATGCATGCGCTCGCTCTTCATTGAGGAAGCACCGATAAACGAGTAAGCTGAAGTTTAGTGATCTCCATGTGAGATGTTCAGCTTAAATGAAAGTGTCATTCAGCCAGTCTGTGTTGTGTCATGAGATCTCGACTATTTTGTTTGCGATTGTGGTTGCTGAATAAATGCACTTACTCAACCGCTGTTGTTTTAATAGAGAGACATTATTACAGTTTGGAATGATTGGAATTACTATTAGGAATTTTACTGTTAAAATATTTTTGTTTGTTTTTGCCGGTTTTCATAATGTAGGCAGAGAAAGTGCATATCTAATTCTTTGATATTAAATAGACTATAATCAGTAAACTAGATGAGGTAAAATAAACCATGTGTGTGAGCCCACATTCTATTGATTTGTGCTTATTAGAGAAAGCGCAGTACCTGAAAAGTAAAAATTAATTTCTCAAATGACAACAATCTTTTCGATTATAATTTTGAGCAAAAAAAAAGAAAATCATTTTTTTAGCAGTTTAACTATTATACAGCATGACGAAAATGTGCTGAAAAGTTTTCATTGACTAAAAGTAGACTAAAATGCTCAGACATTTAGTCGACTAAAACTTGACTAAGCAAAACTAGGACAACGACGTTGAATAAATATGACAATAATTAAAAAGTACATTTGACACCAAGACTAAGACTAATTTAAAAGACTAAGACTAAATTAAAAATGGCTGACAAAATTAACACTATTGCTACACATATTACAGTGTTTGATCGGAGCAGGATGGGTCTTATTCAGTGTTTCCATCTATTATAATGTGTTTAATTCTCTTATTATTTTTCTCCTATATTAGGGACCCACTGGCCCTGCTGGTTCTCCTGGTTTCTCTGGTGGTGCTGGTGCTAAGGTACAAACACTTTATTATAAATTATAAATGTTTTATGGTCATGGATTGTTGCTACCAACAGTTAAAAGTTAATAAAAGCAAAGCGAAAATTATTGAACATACTCAAACCTACTTTTTCCTGAAAACATGCAGACAACAGTTAATTGATTGTTTTAAACCCCCTTTGTTATGCATACAGTATACCCATATAAAATACTTTAGATCTCAATTAATTACTATAGATACCAGTTGGAGTTCCATAAATAAACTGACAAGACCCCTATTTTCTTCTTGTCTTCTGTAGGGAGAAACTGGCCCTGCTGGAGGTCGTGGTTCAGAGGGACCTCAGGGAGCCCGTGGTGAGCCTGGTAACCCTGGACCTGCTGGTGGCGCCGGTCCTGCTGTGAGTAAATCTCAAATTACACAGCTGTTTATTTGCTGGAATGATTTTAAATGAGCTAGATTTTAAAAGGAAATGCCTGTGCTTGCATTGCAGAAACAGAATAGTGGTACATTTAAAATACAGTTATAATTAGAAAAGCTGTAAATCCAAAAAAATTTAAATCCAAACTATATTATCTACTAAAATAGATTGTAAGACATGAAGATGTTATAAACATTAATCATGATGAATATCATTTGCTTTAACTTTAAATCTATCTTTTTCTCATTGCACAGGGAGCTCCTGGTGCTGATGGTGCTCCTGGTGGCAAAGGATCTCCTGTAAGTATTTTTTATGTATGTGACCCTGGACCAAAAATAAGCTGAATAAATATGCTTTCCATTGATGTTTGGTTTGTTAGGATAGGACAATATTTGGCCAAGATACAACTATTTGAACATTTGGAATCTGAGGGTGCAAAAATATCAAAATACTGAGAAAATCACTTTTAAAGTTGTCCAAATGAAGTTCTTAGCAATGCATATTACTAATCAAAAATTAAGTTTTTATATATTTACAGTCGCAAATATGCAAAATATCTTCATGGAACATGATCTTTACTTAATATCCTAATGATTTTTGGCATAAAAGAAAAATCTATAATTTTGACCCATACAATGTATTGTTGGCTATTGCTACAAATATCCCCCAGCGACTCAACACTGCTTTTGTGCTCCAGGGTCACATATGTTATCTCGCACCAAATCTCTTATTAATGCTGTTGCCCTCCATTTTGGGCCAGTTTCACACACATCAGACTGATTTAATTGCTTTGCAATGATGTTTTGTAGGGTGCTGCTGGTATTGCTGGCGCTCCTGGTTTCCCAGGTGCCCGTGGACCTCCTGGACCCCTTGGCCCTTCTGGTGCTCTTGGCCCCAAAGGAAACAATGTATGTACACTGCATTGTATTGTACATGCATGAAAAGTGTAGCTATATATGAGTGCTACAAGCACATAATTTTAGCAACCTTTAGTTTCATTGAAATGACTTAGACTTAGATGTGATAAAGCTCTGATGTGGTAGTAATTCAAAAAATAATACTCTCTGTGCCCTTAAACAAGGCACTTAACCTCTTTCCTGTCTTACAAAAGTACTTTAAAGGGATAGATCAATCAAAAATTTAAATCCAGTCATTATTCACTCACCCTGTCATGTGTCATTTAAAACACACACACACACACACACACAACTATATTTAACACAATGGAAGTGTTAAATAAATGGAACCGTTAGCTTACCAACATTATTCAGAATATTTTCTTTTTTGTCACATAGAAGAAAAAAAATGCATACCAGTTTGGAACCACATGAGGGTTAATAAATAATGACAAGATTTTCATTTTCGGGTAAACCTATCCCTTGAAGTTGCATTGGTTATAGAAGAGTCTGAAGATTGACGCATAATGGGCTGAGTTCAGATATTTTATGCTCTGTTTCCAGGGTGATCCAGGTCTCCAAGGCAATAAGGGAGATGCCGGTCCTAAGGGAGAACCTGTAAGTTTCTTTGAAGCAAAGATAATTTCCTAATATTCACAGAAACCTCCACTGTAATAGTAATAGTTGCTGTTCTCTGTCCTAGGGCTCAGTTGGACCTCAAGGTCTCGCCGGACCTGCTGGTGAGGAAGGAAAGAGAGGAGCTCGTGGTGAGCCTGGTGGTGCTGGACCTGTCGGACCCCTTGGAGGCCGTGTAGGTTTAACGTACCTGTTCATTTCGATTCAGGCATGCTTTTTTGTTTGTTTGTCTCTCATATTTTCTTTTTCTTTCAAAAGGGTGCCCCTGGTAACCGTGGTCTTCCTGGTACTGATGGACCTCCCGGACCTGGGGTAAGATTACTGATCCAGCACCTGACAAATCAAGGCCATAAATTTTGCTAAACTGTACTCAGTCTCTGAACAGTCTAGTAAATGTTGTGTCTGGTAACTTGAAAATGTGCTTTACACTACCAGTCAAATGTTTGGAATCATTGAGAGTGCATTCGTTTGATCAAAAATGACAGTAAAAACAATAATATTGTGAAATATTATTTCAATTTAAAATAACTGTTTTCTATTTGAATATATTTTTTCAAATATAATTTATTCCTTTGATTTCAATGCTGCAATTTCAGCTGCCATCACTCCAATCTTGATCCTCCAGAAATCACTCTAATATGCTGATTTGCTTATTTGCTGATTTCCTTATTTTAATCCATTTTGAAAACAGTTGTGCTGCTTAAGATTTTTTTGTGGAAACCATGAAACATTACCATTTAAAAGTTTGGGGTAAGCAAAATTTAAAAAAGAAAAAAAGAAGAAGAAATTAATACTTTTATTCAGCACCTATGCATTAAAGTGATTAAAGACATTTATAATCTTGCAAAATATTTCTATTTTAAATCAATTCTATGCTTTTCAACTTTTTATTCAGCGAATAATGTGGATATCCTGAAAAAACATTAAGCAGCAAAATATTAAACAAAAAATATATATATAAGCAAAATATATAGAAAAGTGATAATATTTCACAATATCACTGTTTTTACTCTGTTTTTTATATTTTTAATGCAGCCTTGGTGAGCATAAGAGACTTCTTTTAAAGCCATAAAAGCCTAATGCATCAAATATGATACTAAAAAAAAACACTTTTTGCTTTATGCAACCTTTTTTTTTTTTTGTCTAAAGGTTCAGTACACTGTTACATTTTCAAAAAGATTTTTCTGACTCTTATTTCATATGTCAAGCTTTATGAGGTTCAGTGTATTATTCTCTTGAAAAATAAAAAGATTGCTTTATGAATATCAGATCTGCATACTATTTAATGTAATATTTAACATGGATGTATTCCTCTTAGGGTGAGGCTGGTAAGTCTGGTGAGAGAGGTGTTGTTGGACCTCCTGGTGCTTTGGTACGTACTGATTTACACTAATTTAAAGTGATTTATGCAACCTTGAGCATTTCTTTAAACACTTGGTCTCTCAGTTAAACTCTTTAAAAAACTGTGTAACCTCCAGACAATTGCATATCTGAGCAGGTGCAGTATGATGCATTGGTTTCTGTGTATTTCTATAGGGCGCTCCTGGCAAGGATGGGGATGTTGGTGCTCCTGGTTCTCCTGGACCTGCTGTACGTCTGCTTAAACATCTGAAAGTTCGATATGATTCAATTCTGCCGTGGCAATGTGAACTGTTTCTGATTTTTTTCTCGGGTCTGTCGTCTCTTAGGGCCCAGCTGGAGAGAAGGGAGAACAGGGATCCGCCGGTTCTCCTGGATTCCAGGTATGTTTTTATCTATGTCCACATCCTCCAAATACGAGTGAATTTAAGATTAGAGGCTGATTATCGTTGGTTATTCTCTTATAGGGTCTGCCAGGTACACAGGGTGCCACTGGTGAGACTGGCAAACCTGGTGACCAGGTACGTGTGGTCATTGGAAATAACTGTGTTAACTCAAGGAATTGTGTTTTTTCTATTATGTATTCTGTCTACAAGTAAACAAACATATTGTAAACACGATATGACATACAGTATGTTATGTAAAATTGCCCTTACTACTTTATATTTTACAAAATCACAGTGCAGTTTTTCGTTCAGTGTTATTTATTATGTTCTCTGTTCCACAGGGTGTTCCTGGTGAAGCTGGTCCTCATGGTCCATCTGGTGCAAGAGTGAGTATCTCCTGCCTCATAAAAAAAAGCCCACAGATGTGCCACATCTCAATCAATTCTTAAAAGCCACCCAAGCTACACTGCACCCATTAAGAATAATCTTATTGTTTGTTTTTAGACTATAATGCTTATACTGCAGCAAAAAACAAAACAAAAACAAAATTCCATCAGTATCATTGTGTTGTTTTATAGTAAAAATGTCCTGGGAGCAAAATAAGCAAAATTGCATCTTAATATCTTTTATTTTTATATTTAAAAATAAATTTATGAATTATATTTTAATTTTAATATCCTTTTTTTTTCATGTTCCAAGCATAGTTATGGTCTGGTCAATATCAAGATAAAATTCTTGCAAATCTTGTTTCAAGAATAAAATATATTTTTTAGGAAAATTACAAGATCATATTAAGCAATCAAATTATTGCATGATTTGTATAATTTGCAATTTAAAAAAAATGAACCAAAACCCTTTTTTGGTCTTCTGTCAACTTGGTCTTATTTCAAACACACCTGTCATACATTTTTTAATGCATATACTGATAAAATACATGCAAAAATCTGTATATTTTTAAGTCAAAAATTACTCCAAATTAGTTTTCCAAATAATTCAAGAAAATAAAAATGGGGGGGGGTT